TAATCTCCTAAATGTATAATTAAATATGACAGTCTCATATCAGCAAAGATTTCGTTAATTTTTCTATATCTAAGAAAAAAATAACATTGTAACTATCAGCTATTCTAAAGATTGAATATATATGTACTTGTATAATATAAGTAATTTTCAGTCAATTCTTCACGAGCTTTCTTAAGCTCTTATCATTACTTGTTATTTATTATTCTCAAAACGATTCTTAAGATTGTTACAACTCAAAGAATAAAAAATTTGAAAATTTTATAGATTGTTTTATTAGTACGTGTGAATCTAATACTGTATCAAATTTGAGCACGAATCTCCTATTGGTTTCAAAGTTATCTACTTAATTTTTTCTTGTTTGCCTTGATTCTTATATAAAATTGCATTTTGTAGTAATGCTTACTTGCAAATTCGATGATGAAATGGCATTGTAAATAAAATTAAATTTTTTATACACACTAATACAATTTTAATAAATATTTATATAAAAGTTTATTTAAATTTTTACTTTCATTTATTTTATACTTAAAACTGCAGCAAAATATAGTCATTCATCACTATATAAATCAAATTATTTTTATTCTTTATCTACAGTTGATTTTTTAGGGGGTATTCACGACTAAAATTTTTTAGCTGCTATTGACTTTTTGTTTAATTCTCTATAAATGATACTTTTAGTTGAGTCTTTGTAGCCCGACATGTAATTATCGAATTGTTCACATACGTATATACTTGCCAATAAGCATACTTGGTTGCCCAATCGTGACGTCATGTATAATAAATGACAGTCTCGTGCAGAGACGGTGACCTTCGTTATCCAGCGTAATTAATAAAACGACTAAACGGAGCAGCACTCCAACGCCATTAATCACAGCGACGAGAGCTATTAGTAATGCCTTTTCGAGCCGGAAGTTGAGCGAATGCGCACTCTGCACTCGTGACGTTCTCTTTCATGAAAAGGGGAAGGATGTGCAAGGATCGTGCGATTTCCCTCGGCTTGCCACATTAAATTTCCTGTCGCTCCGTCGCAAGCTAACGCGGGTATAATGTCCTAAAGTTATTTCCGTAAATGTGCCGTGAAATATCTAAAAATTATTTTCAGAATGCATCACAAATCATTTTTTAAAATTTTTATTCGGTCGAATTCTACACATTTACCAGAATTAATAAATTTTTCTCTTTTCAAGAATTATATAAATTTATAATAATAGATTGCATAATCAAATTATATTGATTTTATCGATATTTTTGAAAGTCACTCTTGAAGCTATGAATCTCAACGAACTTCCATGAAGAAAGTGAGACACTTTATCTTCCGTGCGAAACGAACAAATCATTTTCCAAGCCTAAAACGATGGACGAAGCATTCTTTTACTAGCGACTCGTGAATCACGCAGAGATGAGGGTCCTTATTCCAAAGTATTCCGAGAGTTGAAACAAATTCCGCAAACTTGGTGGATTCGATTATTAGTGGAGGAAGAGGAAGGCGACGAGTTTTCGCGCTTCGAAAACTCGTCGCCTTCTTCTTGTTGTACTTCCGTTTCCGCCATACGTTCAATACTGACTTTACCTATCGTCGCCAGAATTGTGAGTGCAGGCGGCCGTGTAATTGCAAGTCTTCCAAGGAAAACGGAAACTTTTCCTCCCGAGTCAGAGAAGAAGAAGTGCCGACAACATGCATTAACCGGATCCAAACTTTCGATAGAAATTTCCATTACGTAAGAATCCAAGAGACAATACCACGTCGAAGAAAACGTATCCCTTTCAGAGTTGTCTAAAAATCGCATTTTCCAAGATTGTGAGACTGCAATTCAAAAAAATTGCGAATTACATCTATGCAAGTTATTATCGAACACGAAATCCTGGTTTACTCTATCGTTTTAATCAATTATTTAAAACTTAAGGACTTTTGAATACAAAATAACAACAGAAACCATGCAAGCAAAACTTTCTTCAATAAGCAGACTAATAATTCAAGTTGAAACGATAACTAACTAACTAACGTTGACCAAGAAGTCAAATAAATAAAAAAAATCGATTTGAATGTCTCAAAATATGAAAGATGATTAATAATAAAATGTAGTTTTTTTTTAAATAAATGAAAAAAAATGGTTACATTAGTTAAATATATTTCCATTTATACAGTTTTTTATACTATCTCCTTGCAGAGAATTCATTTAATTTTTTCATTTTTCACTTGGCTTCTTGGTAAATGCTAAATTTGATACTCGGTTGTCTTTTTAATTTGAATTATTAACCTGCTCTCTTTGATGAACTTTTGAGTATGTTTCATTTGGAGGAAGACTCGCCATGGTTTGGTAAAGATTTAAAATGTATGATATAAAATTACGAATAGTAGCAAAGTTTATTAAACATTTAGTAAAGAAAGAGATTAATTTGCATCTTCAACATTTTCGAATGCTGGAAATATTCCTATATTTCGACATTGTAAGCAAGTAAGATAATCTAAACTTACTTTACTAAATACTAAGAAATTCTAGCAACTTCTTCAATTTCAAACGACAAAGACTATGAAGGATTTACAGATCTATTAGAGTTCACACTATAATCTCGCGAAAGTTTCACGCAGCTCGTAATGGCGCAGAGATTTCAACAAGCAATTTCGTGCCACGTGTCAGTGGCGCGCGCGTCAGAAAAATGAGAAATATTTGATAAATCTCTTCGCGTCATTCTCTTCAGTTTCCAACCATGGAGGCAATGTCGAACATCGTGGCAGGTACGCGCAATATATTTCTTTGCTGTTGTGCCTCTTCATCTTCAACCCTTTTTATTGCCGTCACCTAAGCTCTTTCCCACCCTTATATCTCTCGCCAAACTTTCTCCTTCGGCCTTTTCCTTAGCTTGAGGGAAGGCTTTTTATGTCTCCACGTATGTCGGCCAGAGTGAATGGTGTTTCAATAATCGTATTTCATTGAATTTTCTCGGGCGAAATAGAAAATTTCGCTTTTCCTCTTGCTTGTGCAAGCTGTTTCATGCGTCTCACAGCCGGAAATTGAACGGCAAATGTGACCACCCCGTCTCATCTTTACCCTAAGAAAATTCTTTACAAGAATATATGTATAGGTAACTCTAAGTATAAATTGATCGAATACGCGTTCATACGTGTGTACGAGTATGTGTAAATCATTATTCAAGATAATGAAAAGATAAAAATTCAAGAAAGAGAAGCTCCAAAATGGATGCTTTCTTTGTAAAAAAAGATTTTCCAATTACATCATCTCGACTTTAGTCATTACACATCATGTGAACTCTAATCTCCGATCTATTTGGAATGTTCCGCGTGTCTTCTCAACGAGATGTTGGTCCAGCTGAAACTCAATAACTTGCACAATCCCGGAGAAGTTCAGTTTCAGACCATCCGCGCGAGCCGCCGTTATATTGGGATCGCACGGAGGTCAATGACATCTATTCCCGGCCGCCATAATTCACATGGCTTTCCCCAACTCTACGAAAAGTTCCCTCAAACTTAGATTAGCGATTCAATTTGGACCGCCAGTGAATCATCTTAAAAATCGTTTTTTAATCGGGACACTCTGTAACGAACAAAACGTCTTGCTTTGCCGGGAGCGGCTTTTCCTGCCTCAGGCTTTTCCCGCATTTCCCGCCTTTCCGTTTACCCCCAACCATTCGTAGATTTCCGTGCCATTCGTTCAACGCTGCTGGCTCGACGACCAGTAAGGATTACTTCATCTGCTAATGCCCATCTAAAATTCCGTTTTTTCCAGAGAGTTGACGGATTGGACTCATTATGTATATCCACGCGCAAAAATAATTTATGTATTCGCTAAAGAATTCATTTTTAACAACGCTAATTGCTAAAAAGCGATTATTGTTAAATTATTTGACATTAAAAGAGAAAAAATATTAATAATTTTATTTTTTAAGCATTCTTCTGGGGATACAATTAAACTTAAATCTTACAATCTTAAAAAAAAGTTTCTTTATTCAAATATCCAAATTAATAATTAAATCTAAATTAAAATTAAAAAAAATTTTTTTTCATTATTTAAAAATCTGGAGAAAAAAAACTTAGAGGACTTCATACGCTACTAAACAAAGTGAATGCAATTCTGCAAAATAGCGTTACAAAGTTCGTCCCTCGAGATAGTGTCGAGAGCATCGTCTTTGGTTGCAACTTCGTAGGGCAGAGAACGTATGCATATAAAGAAGTTTCGATACCTGATAGATCAGTTTAACTACACTTCCTTTCAGTACAGTTCGTTAACATCTTAATGTATGAAAAAGGGGATTTCCAATACATATTTTAAACTCAATATACATAATCAGTTTATGGAAGAACGTAAATTGTTAAAAAATTAAATACGAGAGTGAATAATAGATTAATTGACGACTACTGCAATCAAAAATAACGGACCGATATGATATAATTTTAATATTTGGACTTCGTTTTACAACTATAAAATTGACACCGATGATTGTATATTCATACAGAGAAGTAATAGGTTTCTTTTAAGATGTATAATCTCTAAATCATATAATTTTACAAAACATTTGCGGTTAAAATGTGACCGTTCAAGTAGTTATTTAAACAACACTGAAAATGACCGAATTATGTATCGAAACGTATGTGGTATTTATTTTGATATATATTAAGATTATAAAAGGTTAGCAAATGTAATCCACACAGCTCTTAGCCCTATACACTTATCAGTAAATTTTGTCAATGCCTTCAATACTCAATAAGTAATTTCTAGTATTAAATTGAATTTTTGTAAGAGATAAAAAAAGAGTTTTCAGAGATGTTTCATTATAAAAGTTAAAAATCTTTTTTTTTGTAAGAAATCATTATGAGTACTAATCACCATCAGTTTTCCGTAGCATTCAAATTATTAAAATTTATTATCGAAATTTAGATACTTAAAATTTTTATTTATGGTAGCAGATATCGTCATAATTGCGCATGACGGTTACAAAGTTGCTCGTGCGATTGAATCGCTAAAGGGTTTACGTTCACTCACCCATTGCAGGCGCGTAGATGTTCAGATAGAGGCAGTCCTCGCTCTGATTACGCAGATGAGGCAACAGTCTCTTCAGATACTCTAGTCTACCCTTAGGCATTCGCTCGAGCGCTTCCTGTTCGTTTGCGATGTCCGGCAGCTTTTGGGGGCAGACTGGACCCACCGAGTCCGATAATCTGCAGAGGAAATCGGAAATCGTTCGTGCGTTACAACGAACTGAACGATCAAAGTTTCGAATAGAATACGCGTCGCCATGTTCAATAAGGACGAACATCGTCGAAGAGAATGTATTTCGGGGCGTACGTATGTATATTGAACTACAAGGTGTCTTAACTATAAAGCGTATAATATTGTAATACCTAAATTGATATCTTAAAAATATGTGGATCTTCTTCTAAATTAATTTCTGTCATTAATTAATTAATTATAATTTCTCTTTCTCATTAATTTTAAGAATAAAAACAAAGCGATTCAACATTGTTTTACTACTTTTATTTTAAAATTTAAAACTTTTTGGTAGTTATGTAATTGTAAGTAGACTTGATAATAGTATAACATTGGCATTTGAAAGATTTGCTAAGGAATATCTCGGCATAATTTTAGAATGTTGTATATCTTGCGATATTCTCAGACACTTCGAGTTAAGAAGATTGCGCGGCATCTGAAGTATTTCGAGAAGATCGTGCTTGTTATAAAATTTGAAAGTATTTGCTTTAACTGAAAAGAGAAATGTATCGACTTTACATACAAAAATAAAAACTGATTACCCTTGACATAACTTTCTGCATAGTTTATAGTAGAAAAAGCCTCAAAGTTTCGATAAACAATATTCATAAATATACCTTTATATGTATATATCTGTAAAATATTTAATTTTGTAACTTGATCCATAATTAGACCGTTATCACGATAAATTAAACTCGTTGAAATGATGTTGGTTCTTATCTTAAAAAAAAAAGTACATTTTACCTGACTCCTTCCCAAGGACTCGGTGCTCTCGTTGGGGAAAAACGATTACTACCGACAGGTGGTGTGGCGTAGGGTATTCCGAGATATACGTCAATCGGCTTGAGGAATTTGGTATACTCGAAAGACCTCGTGATGCCCTGTACCTCGCCGTAGCGCGTCTGGACGATCCGTGGGTTGAGCTTGCTCTTGATGGAGAGCGAGAGGGCGGGTGGCGCGACCAGGCAAACGAGGATCAGGAAGAGTTCCATCTTGCCACCCTCCCCCGCCTCGCCCACGCTACCGCAACTGATCGCGCCCGACACGATCTATGGATCACCTCCGCGTCCCGTAACGATCGTCTCTCATTTACGCCTGCACGATTAATTACGACGCCGTTGAGTCTCCCTCATCCCAGTAGACTCTCTCTTCTCTGCAAAAACATATTACACGTATATCGCAAATTTATAGATCATTGATTATAAATTACGCGTATCAAATACAAGAGTAAAAATTAAATCTTTTTAGCAATAAATATGACTGTCTTTAATATCGATCTTATTTTATATTAGATCGAAGAATAATAACAAGAAATCTTTTTTATCGATAAAAAAATTAATTTTATGAAAGGAAATAATGAATTAATTTTTTACAAAACATCGTTAAATTTTAATATTAATATATTAATATGACAAAATTTATTACGTTAAATCTGATATTAATAATATTCCAAATTAAATAAGACACAAAGTTGAAGTTAATTAGATATTAGTAAACTATAAGTACGATGACTGATATAGATAAGAAGACGACAAAACGATTCTCTCATAATACCATTCCATAATAATAACAGTAATTAATACCAACTTGAAATTTTGTTGCAGTAAGTAATGTTAAAACAATTAAAATTGCGCTTTATTGCGATCGCGAATTATTTCGCACGCGATTGCTCGCTCGATAGCATCAATTAATTTCATGTTTTTGTTAGTTTTAATTTCCAGGACGTGGCGGTTCTCGTTGCTGGTTTGGTGGTGTATTTATTTAACGTGCCCGTTCAATTAACTATATCAATATTTAATTAATACGCACCGCGGTTACATCGATTCTATTGGAAAATGACAATGATATTAAAAAAAAAAAAAGAAAATAGAATAAAAGAACGAATAACCGAGTATACATCTCAATGATGGGTAATCGATATTCTGAGGGTGGTTTCGCCAAGGATACATGATAGTAACCTTTTTCATCCTTCGATTATTAGCGAATTCTAATCTTGCGACAGAAAGTTTCATCTGCGTTCTCTTTGATGAAAGATAAAGTAAAATGGCCGAAGGGAATAGCGACAAGAGCTGAATGCGATGGATAAGCGCGAGAAGGGGAAACTTTCAGACTCGATAAGCGTGGAGAAACACTTTCTGTAGACATCGTACGTTTGCCATATTTTAGCAAAATTAAATATCTTGAAGTAAATTTAATTAATCTCTGTTTAATGTTTCTCTACAGCTTTAAATAAATACTCATCTTAATGTATTTTATATTTACTATTAATTATTAACATTCAGTATTTACATACTTCAGTGATACATAATTATCCGTTTATATAGAACTTCTTTCTAATATCTCCCCAGGCGTCTAAGGTAGACTCCCACTACATTACCTTACTGATGAGTCTAGTAGTGGGAAGCCGGGACGAAACGCCAACTCGTGATATTCTTCGCAATCTTATTTTTCTCAGATTTCGATTTATCATTAATTTAACATTACATCGTTAAATTTTAATATGTCTTTCAACATTTTATTAAGATTCAATAAGATGCTATAAGCATCAAAAATTGTTAGATTGCTTGTGTCAATTTAACTAACGTGATATTACTACGGTAGTTGATTAGAGTTGCGTTGGAAGTCTGAAAAAATTTCGGCACGCGATTAAGGGACTACATACGTAGTAAATAAAATTTACACATTATATTAGCAACCAAAATCCTGCTCTTGACCGTCATTTGGCCTATTATATATCATATTTATTCAGTATTTAATTTCATAAGAAATGAGATAATATGAAACTTGTAGCAAGATCAATAATTAAAAATAATAAATGATAATTTATTCGAGTTTATGTTGTGAGTACTAAAGTAAAATAACCAAAAGTGAACAGTTTGAAAAATAATTTCATTCTTTCATTTTAAGGCTAGAAATAAAGAAGAAAGAATAATATTAAACGTAGAGTTTAAGAAATATGTAAAGATAAAAAGTCCATATCTCTCTCTCTCTCTCTCTTTCTTCATCAGTAGAATTCTTGGCATTATCACAAAAACGTCGCGACATTTTGGCATACAAAGAGGCCGTAAATTAAAAAATTAATCGCGTCTCGATGCGATTATCGAGTCTTGAATTCACATTATGAGATAAAATTACGGAGAATTACTCGAAGTTTCTATGAGGGGATAGAAAAGGAACATATATATGTACATACTATGTATATATACGAACAGTTGCAGAGAAGGGGTATAGTCGGGGGTTGAGAGAAGTGCTGGAAAGGGTAGGGGATAAGTGAGTGCACTCGTACGTGGAGCCATTATGGAAATCAGTACTTATCGGCCTGGAGAGGAGAAGGAAATTCAACGTTGTGTAACGATGCCACGTTTTCCTCGTGATCCACGTGGCGGGAAAAAAGGAGATAAGCTGTTTCGGCTCCGTCACTCGCCTCGATAATTTCTCTTCCTTATCAACGTTACGACCATCTTGCCGCGAATCCATCTCGCTGATTTACGAATCAAAAGTTATGCGAAAATTTTCTTAAAAAGATATAAATAAAATATAATATTAAAAAGTTTAAATTTAATTACTAACTCTCATATATATATATATATATATATATATATAATATTCTAAAACTTATTTTAAATAAAATTATAAAAATATTATTTTATTAAGAAAAAGATTAATTTTTAACGTCAAATTTGTCAGTTAAATTGTTAAAACAATAATAATAACTTGATTAATAACAATAATAGTAATTAGATTAATAATTCTATTTTATTTTCATAATGTTTGATATAATTGTAATAATTATATCATGTTTCATAATACTTCATGTATTTGTAATAAATATTTAAATCTTACCATTTGTGTGAGTCATGACTTGGATTAGAGAGTCCTTTCGCTTTCCTGGGACCTCTCGAATTATTGAACAATGTCGACATAGATTCAATCCAAACCGTCTTTTAGCATCTTGTTTGTACACTCAATAATATCAAGCAAGAATAATTGATTATAATTTATTTGTTCAAATTAATTCTCAAAAAGTTAGTCTTTAGTGTTATAACTCTTATCGTGTTTCTCATTTCGTAGATCATAATTCACGAACATTTTGTAGTATTCCTTTTTTTTCTATCTACTAGGACTCAATTTGCGCAATCAACTCTGTGACAAGTTTTCTTTTCTAATTATAATTAATTAAATTTTAAATATTGGCTCCTTTAGGTTTTACTCGCAGTATCCTGAAACATAAAAAATATGCATAATTAATTTTTACAAATACGTTTTTGCAATCGTGTAATGTAAAAAAAATTTTTAATGTATTTTTAATTGTATTTTTTTTATGTTTGAAACTAATATATATTTATTTCTTTGTTTATTTCTACTTATACACAAATGTTACCTTTGCATAATATATTAAGATTAAAATTAATAATAATATATTTATTGAAGGCACATGTATATTTTAATAATTATAATTGACTATACTTGGCTATAAATTGTTATTTACAAAGAGCAAGAGAAATTTACATAACGCATGGGTATATATATATGTATAATATATATATATTATTAACATCAGATTATGATAATCATATGGCAGTCAACTAGATTACTAAATCAGGTCATTAATAAATTGTCAAATCAGCTGAGGATATTGTATAGAATTGAATGACTCATTATAGCTCTTTGTTAATAATTAGCTAATTAATTTTCAAATAGAATCGATGTTGAATTAGTTTGCAATTCAAAATCAAAACACAATTGCATACACATATTAAAGATGAGGTTGCAAAGATTGTAACAGTTTATAAGGTACTTTATAAAATATTTTGTAAGAGGTATTTATTTTGTGAGTATTTTTTACATTTTCATGCTTATAAATAAATTATCATAAATAAATTAAAAGATTAAAAAATATCTATAAAATACATAATATTATACTGGAGGAAAGATTAATTATACAAATATACAAAAACTATATAAAGAATTTGTAGGATTTGAAATATAATAAATAATTAAGATAATTTAAAATTCAATTTACTAGTAAAGTAAATAGTGCAACAGATTTAAAACTTCAAAGTTGGAAAAAAAGTATGTTGTTTGTGAAATATAAATATATTCTATAAACTGATCTAATTTATAGTATATATATATATATATATTTATTTCATAAACAACATACTTTCTTACTGCTTTCAATTTTTGTAGCTTTAAATTAAATCAATTTGATATCATTTAAATTAATTGTTACTATATTCAATTTATTTCTATAAATTAAATCTTAATTTATCATAATTAATTCGTCATTAACTTTATATTTTAAAGCAACTTTATATTATTGTTATTTACTGTCTTTTAAACTGTTTCTGTACTTTTCTTCTATTTTCTCTACTCTTTCTCTCTTTTTCCTTCTCTCTCGTCTTTATAATTCATTCTTATGCTCTTACTTTCTCTTCCTTACTTTTTTTTTCATGTTTATTATAACTTACTGGGATTAAACCCAACATGGGCTAAACCCAACATTTAATTAGAAGAGAAAAGAGACAGAAAATAAAAAGAAAAAAATCCGAGAAACCTTTTTCAAAATTTTCAAGCTAATTGAAATTAAATTTGATGTGATAAAAATCTTAATACAAAATTAATAAAAGCTAAATAAAAATAAAAGTTATAATATAATCATTTTTAATTATTCGTTTATTTAAATTTTTGTAAAAGCAATTTTATTTCAAAATTTGTAAAAATTATCTTTAAACATAAATTAATATTTTTACGATGCAATTAATATATTAGTATACAAAAATACTTGTAATATTTTATCCAAATTATTTATAAACGTAAATAAATTCATACAGGTCAATATATTATATATTTTCAGACACATTTAATATTTTGTTCTTTATTTAAAAATGCGAAAGTAATATCATGTTTACGGCCAATTACAAAAACTAATTTTAATTTATAAGATCCTTTAATCTTATCATGCTGCTTATGATAGCAGTTATAATGCAAA